CGCACACGCTGGAGCAGGAGGAGACGCCGCTGTGAGCCACGGGCCCGGGCCCGAATCCCGGGAACGCGCCCCCTCCCCGGCGGGCTTCCCGCCGTGGTCCGCTGAGGTGTTTGGGGTTTGCTGAAGATGCGCGCCCCGCCCCCGCCTACGCCCCGGCCACGCCCCCGCCTTCACCCCGGCCACGCCCCCAGCCTCCCCACGGCCACGCCCCCGGCCGCCCCTCCAGACAAGCGGCTACTGGAGGAAGCCCATCCGGACTCCAAGACGACCTGTGGCCCCAACCTGCGGCCCACCCGAGGCCTGTGTGGGCCGAGGGCCTTAGCCGGGGTCGGGCTGCACTGCAGCCAGAAGCCCAGTCCGGAATGGGGGCCGCTCAGACTGGACCCACCGCCTTGGCCTCGTGCAGCGCCAGTGCTCCATGGACCTGGATTCGGGGACAAGCCTCACCTGTCCTCAGGCCCAGCCCCTCACCTCCTGTCCTCAGGCCCAGCCCCTCACCTCCCGTCCTCAGACCCGGCCCCCCCACCTCCCGTCCTCAGGTCCGGCCCCCCACCTCCTGTCCTCAGGCCCGGCCCCCCCACCTCCTGTCCTCAGACCAGGCCCCTCACCTCCTGTCCTCAGGCCCGGCCCCTCACTTCCTGTCCTCAGGCCTGCCACCCCACTGCCCCGCGGCTGCATGGGCCATTTCCACCAGAGGACATTACTTGTCTCATGACACTGACCATAGGGTACTGAAGAGCACACAAACCCAGGAAGTTGCTATTTCTCACGTCCATAGCTCTGTGGTGTCCAGTGTGCTGTACACACTGATCCCTAGCAAAGGGAAGTGCAACACCTTGATCTAAGCTGGAACCGCGGGTGTGTGCACTGGAGTACCTGTGACCCCAACCACAGGACGAGGCAGTGTATGGACTGGAGCACCCGTGACCCCAACCAACCACAGGACGAGGTGGTGTGTGGACTGGAGTACCCATGACCCCCAACCAACCACAGGACTACGCAGTGTATGGACTGGAGTACCCGTGATCCCAACCACAGGACGAGGCGGTGTGTGGACTGGAGCACCCGTGATCCCAACCACAGGACGAGGCAGTGAGTGGACTGGAGTACCCATGATCCCAACCACAGGACGAGGCGGTGTGTGGACTGGAGCACCCGTGACCCCCAACCAACCACAGGACTACGCAGTGTATGGACTGGAGCACCCGTGATCCCAACCACAGGACGAGGCGGTGTGTGGACTGGAGCACCCGTGATCCCAACCACAGGACGAGGCAGTGAATGGACTGGAGCACCCATGACCCAACCAACCACAGGACGAGGCGGTGTGTGGACTGGAGCACCCGTGATCCCAACCACAGGATAAGGCGGTGTGTGCACTGGAGTACCGGTGATCCTAATCAACCACAGGACAAGGCGGTGTGCGGACTGCGAGCACCCGTGACCCCAACCTCACATATGCAGCGGTGTGTGGCACAGCCTGCCACCTCTGGACCGGTTCTATTAAAGACATGTCAGGGCATTCTGGGCTTACTTTGTTAGAAGAGAAAGATCTTACTAGGAGGATGGAAGAATCCAGTTCCTCAGGAGCACAGGTCTGCATTAGGAGTAACAGGAGAGGGTTGTGTGTTCCCTGTAAGGCAGGGTGAGGAGGTCACGTGCCCGGGGGCTGGTGTGGGTATTGCAGCCCCTCGGGTGAAGCACTAGGCCCAGTTCACTCACACGCAGATCTCACACCATCGCTCAGACCTGCACGGTGACCAGGTCTTTGATGACAGCAACGTTATCGGCTAGGTCTGAGGGAACAAACGGAGCAAGATCAGCAGGGCCTAGTGGCCAGGACAGTCTCTGGAAGTCCAGCAAGGACGGCAGGTGGCAGAGTGTGCCTGTGTGGCAGAGCCTGCTAAGGTTTGAGATGAGGTCCCGGTATCCCAGAGACACATTTTTAGTTTAATAAATTTTAAAATGTTTACATCTGAGTACAATCCCCACTAGGTAAAAGTCTAACTGGTCAATTCACAGCATGTAACAAATGAGCCAGAAAACAGCAGATAAGGCACCTGGGTGAGTAGCAGGGGGACTGACTTTGGAAGCAGTCTGAGGTACAGGGGCGGTGGAAGCCCCTTCCACTGGCCGGACCCCCAACTGTCTCCCAATATCTCCTACATGGCGCCTACCATACCCCATGTGACTTCCTCTCACCTTGCCACACAACATTTATGACTCTAGGTCCATCTCCAGGCAGCACCGTTCAGCCTCCCCTGAGCTCCGGAGGAAAGCTGTGGGGAACAGTCACCTGCCCG